GATGGAGGACACACAAGTACAAGCAGTGCTGCAGCAAAAGGATCAAAACTGGAGAAGGTTGTTATTAACGAATATAAACTTCATGATCAGCCAAAAGAATTCCTTCCAAAGTGGGAAAACATATTTACTGTAGCATCTGCATTTGCTGTGTTCGTTGATCCTTTGAGCTGCTACGTTCCTGTCATCATCGAGGATAGCACGTGCTACTATTGGGACTACACCTTGATGTGGATATTTTTCGCCTTACGATCAGCCGGCGATCTATTTTATGGAATGGACATTTTTGTTTTCATAAAGCGTCGCGGCAATGTTAATGCCAAGCCATTTGGGGCCTCCTGGACAGAGTATTTTGGCGGTCCTGATTCCACAATTTGGAAGGTGTTGAATGGCAAGAAATCGCTTAGGTTCTTAGGCATTGTACCTCGCATTTGTGCTGCTCTTCCCATTCTACAGGTATATAAGATCGTACTTCTTCCGCGTAATTAAATATCTTATCCTGAAAATAATATAATTATAAAAAACTATTACTCATGCCGCCATGTCAAAAACTGGAATATTACCTTGTCTAGACTTGGCAACATACATAAACATTTATCTTTATATGTTAAAAATGATTTAATATTGGTTACACAGTAATCAAATTTTAACTGTTGGCTTTAAATGTGTCCAGGCAATCATACTCACCGGACAACATACATACTTTGGTAAAATATACAGTAATCTTTTTTATCTAATTCCAATCCAATATACTTTACGGGCTTATAATCTCTACCAATGGCTCGATCGGCATGCTAAAATAGAGACGGCAGTAAAAAGATTTCTTAAATCTGCTCTGGACTTCCTTCCATTCATCCTTGCTTCTCATGTAAGTTTTAATCTTATCTTCCACATTTAAAGAAGAAAATAATCAACTTGTTCTGAATTTGCTTTTAACCTCCACGAAGTTTGCGTTAATTATGTTTAGTTACTTGCTGAAACCTTGAGAATCATAATATTATATTGATTATTAACTATGTGATTGTCGCTCCTTTTCAGATCTTCGGAGCCTTGTGGTACTATTTTGCTGTGGACCGAAAGATAGTTTGTTGGGAGGAGCATTATTGTAAATCGTGTGGTCGTGAAACGCTTGATCCTTTATTCTATTGCGACAGTTTTTCAAAACCAAGAGGTCTTCTATTTCAGAATATGTCGAGTTTACGGGAGTCGTGCGCTGTACAACCTTCAGAAAATGTAACAAGTTCACCTTTCGATTTTGGTATATATCTATACGCTTTCCAATCTAATATGACAAGCTCAAGAGATCTTCCAGTGAAGATGTTGCAGTGTATTTGGTGGGGCCTGCGAAATTTGAGGTTTGTATATTTATAAGGCTTTTTAACATTTCATGATGATCCCCCAAAAATAAATAAATCATGTTTTGACTCTGAAAATTTCATTAGCTTATGTCAAATTGCATCTCCAATAAAGGTAAAGGAGCCAAGCATGAGCTAGGTAGCAGCTGGAATTTGCTGGAATTTTCATTATAACCTGCGATATACACTTATCAAATATGTTGCTTCTTCATTTTCTTTTTGCAGTTCTTTTGGTTCAAACCTCCAAACCAGTCTCTTTGAGGACGAAATCATCTTTTCGATTGTGATCTCTATAAGTGGCTTGGCACTATTTTTAGTATATCTAAATTCAAGGGTGCAGGTTGGTTTTTAAACAAAATTGATGTTTTTTTCTTTTTGACAAAGCTATACTAAACTAAATTTATGTCTTTAAATTTGAAGCTCCTCCATATAAATTTCCGTATTAATTCTTGTGTATCTATAAAATTAATAATTATATGCAGGGGTCGAAAAAAGTGTCAGATCACCTTAAATTGCAACAAAAGATTGAAACGATATATTCAAATACCATAGAGCAAATGCGTAATATGTGTCACTTGGCTTCACTAAAGAAAGTAAGTAGTTGGGTTAATTTGCTCTGATTCTTTCTATTAAATTTTGTTCAACACTAATAAATTATATGAGATTGGTAGGTGCCGTTGCTTGAACATACAGATGAGAAAGTGTTAAATGCAATATGCCAGTATCTTAAGCCGGTGACGTATAGCAAGGATGTTTATATCATTCGAGAGGGAGAACCACTTCGAAAGATGCTTTTCATCACAAAAGGCACTGCATTGACCTACACTATTAAGGGTGGAACAAATGTGTGCAAGTGCCTTGAGAAAAGTGATTTTTATGGAGAAGAACTTCTAAATTGGGCATTCAAATTTTGCTCATTTTCTGAGTTACCTTTCTCCACTACAACTCTTTTGTCCCAAACAAAGGTTGAAGCATTTTCAATTAAGGCCCACCACTTGAAGTCAATTGTCGCTCAATTTTGGTGGCATTTTCAGAGAGAGCTTCCTTGTTCTCAGTTGGAGCATTTTGCAGCTTCTTCCATACAGGCATTCTGGCGCCGTCGCCGTCGTGCAAAGGCTAAGGGAGCATTTTCTGAGGAAGCTTCCTCATTCTCAATTGGAGCGTTTTGCAGCTTCTTCCATACAGGCATTTTGGCGCCCCGTCGTGCAAAGGCTAAGGCCTAACTGGATGGGACATACTTACATTAAATTAGCCAAAACTACGACATCCAAAAAAAAAAGTGTAATAAGCACATAAACCAACTACTTTTCTTCTTTTCTTATCTTGTGTGGGTATTTTTGTGTTTATGTTGCTTTGTTGTTTTCGATTGTTTACTATGTGTCGTCCTTGGTTCGTTCCCTTCATATTCGAGGTGTGGACTGCTTTGAATTTGTTTTGGACCTTGTAACACTCAATAATTTATTGTCGTTTAGGAGTTGTGCTTTGGTTTGAGTTTTTTTAAACTGCTTTTCTTCGGCCTTGGCCCTTTTTGTATATGTACTTGTTTTGGCTTTGTACAATCCACTGGGTTTCTTGTTAAGTAATGATCTTGTGACTGGAAAAAAAAAAGGAGTTTCACTAAAACACCCAAAATGGGGGTTGAAATTATAAAAAAATCCAAGCACTATTTAAACATATAAACACACCCAAAACCCATCATTACACACACTCAAAACCCATTTATAAACACACCCAAAAAGTTGACTTTGAGATTGATTTTGGGTGTGTTTCTATGTTTAAATAGTATTTGAGTTTTTTTATAAATATATGTCTAGGATTGAGTTTATTTATAAATTTGTAAAAAAAAAAAAGGGCAACTTTTTTTCTTTCAATAACACCTTTGAATAATGACAAATTTGCTTGTTAAAAATATTGTCTTTTGACCTCTAGGCAATAGTTGTTGTAAGAATGTTCATTTGGCTAATTTACGCAAACACTGTTTTTGCATTTAATAATAATAATAATAATAATAATAATAATAATAACAAAGATAGAGTCATTTTCACCTCTGTCTTATTTCCCCACTCATCTTATCTTCAAAATTTTAAAGACAAATTTACTCCTTTATAAAATGACTTTTAAGAACTTTAAGAAAAAACCACAAATTTACCACTTCTCCTCTCAACTTCCTCCCAGCTAGCTACCCCAACTGATTTCTTTTTCTTTTTCTTTTTTTGTAAAAGGGTAATTACAATTTTGGTCACTGGGGTTAGGTTCAAATTTAAATTTGATCACCGAAATTTTAATTTTTCCATTTTCGTCACTATACTTGCAGTCGCTAACAAATCAAGTCGAATCCATCAATTTCATCAGTTAAGTCCCAAAAAAAATAAAAATAAAGTATACTGGTTATGCACTTTTTTAACATAATCAACATCAGAATGAACCAAATTAACAACCAAATCCAATTCCACCCAGCTTTCTCCAACAAAGTTATCAAAATTTCAGTAATTCTGTGAAGCCGTAAGTTGTAAATGTGGTAATCAATTGATTAATTTATCTCTCATGAGTCATGAATGACTGACCTTACTTGATGCTCAAAGCTCCATTTTCTCATGATTCATGAATGACCTAAGCTCCATTATACTTAATCAGATCATATGTAATTAATCCTTCAGTTTCAATTTCATCATACAGATTAGTCGCACAGAAATTTGCATGTTCGGTTTTCTTTGATAGGACATAGAAATTTCTGTAACATCATGTTACTACTCATTGCAATTTACATGCTACAAACATACGAGGTTAATTATTATTTCCCACTCGCACTTGAATACTATTAAGGCCTATTAGTCAATTATTAGCAACCCCAAAACAAATTTTGAGTTGCTTGCTATTTGTTTATTGCTTTTCGCATTTGATTTTGGTGGGTTGAGAGATGGCTTTTGTAATGGTTAGTGAGGACAAACTTGCTTTTGTAATGGTTAGCGAGGAGATGTGAGGACAAACTTTATTATTAGATAAAACAAGACTTGGGCAAAGGAGAAGACCTCAAAGCTGTTTGTTTAGTTGGCAAACTGGAGACTCTTGAGAATGTGTGTGAGAGTTTCCTTTCTCATATAAAGGAAAAGATATTTACAGCAATTTGTTTGTCAATGTCACGCATATTTACAGCCCTATAACTTCACCAAATGCAACCATCTACGATTTTGGTATATTTGCCAGGCCTACGCTCTTCAGTCTAACATGACAAAGTTGAATTCATACAAGCGATTACGCAAACCAGAAGACTGCTTGATATATACCCGGTGATGGGTTGTGAATAAAATTATTTCGGGCCCAGCCCAAAAATTGAAGGGTGTCCTGGTCAATATCGAAACTTCTAGGTGTGAGACTGAGTACAACTACAACTACATGAAACCTGAGGAGATGCGGATGAAACTGACCCTAAGAACAAACTAGGAAAGTGAG